GTTGAGGAGCTCCCAATTCGTGGCGTCCACAATTCTCACATGGTCATCTTTGTGTGGCAAGTAAACTGTAAAATCGGCTTTTGCTTTAGCAAGCATGTCTTCATTCCTGATGGCATCTTGTAGTCCCAGTGGGTAATACTTGACGTTGCGAGCTGCCCACATAGACTCGATGTTTGCTAGAGTACCACCTGTAACAAGATGTCCCCCGGCTTTCTCAGGATCAAAACCTACCATCTTGCAAAGATCTTCTCCTACTTCCAACTCGTATTTTGTAGTAACAGAAGAAGCTTCTGCAGCACAGTTATTTTGATTGAACAACAATCCTGTTAGATAACCAAGATTTGCAGACATCACAGTATCCTCACCCACGTGACTCTGAGAAACAGATTTTAATAAGTTGTTTTAATTCGAAGTTTCCCCATGTATAGTCTTATATCATAATCGACCTCTTTATAAGTTTATTAATGGTCTATCTAGAAACTCTGACGTTGTAATACCTTATATCTTGGTGTGAAGAATGGCACAGCTTTGATGAGTTCTTTTTGGATATTGTGCAGTTCATTCTTCGTCTTGTTGATGGCATCTTTAAAAGATTCAGCCTCGCGCATCTCGTCTGTAACAAAATGTGGGTCACATGGGTAGTAGCTGAAACAGAATATTTTACCATGAATTAGTAATTTGAAATGTATTATAATTTAGTTCATATTCAATGCGACGGCTGCATTTGTATGAATTTTAGTCGGTGGACAGCGCTATTCAACCTTCGTACAACGGGGGCACTTGTTACAATGACTAGTGACTGTACCTTCGCCTGAATAGAATATGCTTGTCAATAGCGTCATTGACGAGATCCTTGAAAATTGCTGCATTGTCACCTTTTGGACCTAAAAACCAAGCACCAGTTTTGGCCCAGAATTTTGTCTCCTCGTCAACACGGTCGAAATTGGGTCTTCGCTCCATGAACATTGGACTCTTGCCTTGTGGCGGTTTTTTCGGTAATTGATACATAGTTCTATCTTTATGTATTGGTTACCCTTAGAAACCAAACAGACTGATCAAATAAAAGGGAAATATCAGTATTAGCTTTAACATTTCTTCTTGTCTGATTAAATGTTGAAATACTCTAGGATTGCATAGTTTGGAAAGTTTGGAAAGGTGGCCAAGTAAACGAAAGAATTTTGGTTCCCTCAACAATTTTTTAATTTGATATTGTTTTTGATCGGCTTTACTAAACCATATTTCTTACGCCCATCGCATGTGCGTTGTTTGATGCACTCGTGTGTGTTTTGGGACTTCAAGCTCGCTCATATCCATGCCGTATATACAATAGTGCAAATATACCGAGCATTATAGATTTAGTCCCGTGAAACAGATCTAGTAATACTATTTTTTAATTAGACTTTTTTTAATTCATGCGTACTATACGTAAATGATCACTTTCAGCAAAAAATATCAAAATCTCTAACATTAACATGAAAAAGTGCTGTGAAAGTGCGAAACTAAAATTCGCGAAATACAACTTACCAACGTCAGCAAATGTCCTTGCTGTTTGACATGATCCTTAGCAGTTGCCAAGTAATCGTTGCTCAGAAATGAACTAACATCTGACATATGAAAGATATAAAGATCGCATATCATTTGCGTGCCCTGAAATCACGTCATTTTTAAAGGGCTACTTGGACGAAAATTTCGAATCATTAGAAAAGACTTGGAAATCAAATTGACCTATCCATATGGGTTTAATAATCATGAAGCAGCAGATTTCAAGAAAATATTCATGCAAATCCTTGATAATTTGGACAAAAAATGTTGGAGTAGATGACGTCATTTACTCCATCCTTTTGTTCTTCCATATTTTGAATCAAAATTTATCTGATGTGGCGGATAATTACAAAACAAATATTTTCCAGCAATTGTTTTTAATAGATATCAATTAGTATTGTATTGCTTGAAGTTTTGAAATAAGGCCATTTTCATGCAAGCAGCACTTTAAGAATATAGCTTTCATGTGAATATATTATTCTTGTGTAATTATTCTCATTATGATAATGAGTAATTCTATAACATGTTGCACTCAGAATTCACTAATTGGTCTTGGCATAATCTAACTAAAAAAACCAAAGTCATTAATAGCTTATTTATTTAATAAAAGAGAAAGAGCGCGAAACTAGCTGCTAAATAAGGACAACTAGTCCATATATGGAAACAACATCCCATAAGGCCATGCACCTAAACTAGGACAGCGGCCATTTTTCACTTTGCGAACGAGAAAGAACGTGTTTTTAGTTTTGGCTTCACAATTTTCTCTTCATTACTATGTTGGCAAACGATTCTATTGAGCCTACGGGTTCTGTACATTCAGAAGAAACGTCTGAAGAAGGTTTACCAGTGGAAAACGACTCTAATACCGATCAATTAGCTATTCAAGCGGAGCGTTTGTCGATGAGCGGCTTCTCAATCGTGCCAACACAACAGTCCCCAAGCAAAGAGGGCGAATCTTTGGGTCGTAAGCGATCCTACCAAGCCAGTTTATTGAGCCTAAAGGCTAACCAAGGAAAACTGCAGATACGTGAAACCTCTCCTTCCAGACCTAGTTATCCAATCAGATGCGTCGGGGTCGGGTTGGGGGGCAGTGTGTCAGGGAACGAGTACACGGGGAACCTGGTCTCTAAGAGAGTCAACCCTCCACATCAACTGTCAAGAGCTGCTAGCAAAAACGTATGCTATCAAAGGTTTTACGAAAGCTCGGTGCAACATACATGTCTTGATTCAAATAGACAACACCTCGGCAATAGCATATGTGAACAAAATGGGGGGTGCGAAGAAAGGGGTATTAGACAGTCATGCACGCATGCTATGGGACTGGTGTCTGTCGCGCAAAATCACCTTGCGAGCAGAACACCTGCCAGGTCGTTGTCTCGAGCCAAACCCGATGTTGCGGACTGGAGACTGGACACAGGGTTGTTTCAGACCCTTTGCCAACTGGAACAATGCACAGATGGATCGTTTTTACAGCTACCTTCCGGACCCAGAAGTGGAACAGTTCGATGCTCTCATTCAGCCATGGAAAGGGGAAAATTGTTATGCATTCCCTCCTTTCAATCTGATCAGCAAGTGCCTCAGAAAGACAAGCAACGAAGGGGCATCAGTACTTCTGATATGCCCAGTATGGCCTGCCCAG